TCATGGCTTCTAGTTGAGTTTTAAGGTCCTCCGTCTTCATGCACTGGCCGATTTGTAATGCTTTATTGTAGTCGCTTGCATTAAACGCCCTAGCCGCTCTTTCAAACCGCATCAAGAACTTTCCAAAGTTTTCACCATCGTAAAAAATTCCAGGTTCTTTGATAATTCTTGGTGCAACTTGAGGGATTGGTTGTTGATCTGCTTGTTCCTGATTCGCTGGTTGTTGTTGTTGTTGTCGATTATACACTGGCTCTTCTGCATTCTGGGTGTTGTGAAGTCCATATCCAGACAGAGGAGGTAAGTTGTGTGCTTGAGGTGTAGGTTCGCCTGCATCTGAGTCTTCCTCCGTTGTATCCCGCATTTCACTTGCTTTTCCCTTTCCTTTATCCTTCGGTGGTGGCAAAGTAGTGTCCGGATTCCAATTGAAAGCTGATGATGATCCTGAAGGTCGGTCGAAAATTTGGTTCCTAAAAGGGGTTGACGGTGCAAACCCATCTTCCAAATCTGGTGTACTGTACGGTAGACTCATGTTGATTTTGATTGATTTTCCTAGTTTTCCTTACTTGACGCTCCTTCGATACCTAAACAAACGTTTGCTCTGAAAAAGAAACAAATAATACTATGGTCTCTGGTCTCTTTACCAGGGCAAGCTTATGGTTTTCTTAAAATAAATAAATCAGTTAACACTGGGAATTTCTTCTTTCACAGAATCTACTTATCCAAATCCTTCGGTGGTCTTCCTTCTTTTGGTCAATAAGCAGCTGCTTTCTTCAAATAGTTCCGGAGTTCTTTTCAAACAGTATCCTAGTTATCCAGATCCTTCGGTGGTCTTCCTTCTGCTGGTCAATAACTGGCTGCCTTCTTCAAGATACTTGTTTCAGTCGATGGGTTCACTTTCTTTTCAGAGGTTCGTTGTTTGTGTTGTTGGATTGTTTATTGAAGTTTGACTAGTTGATCAACAGAATAACTGAATATGCCGCTGAGTAGTCGCAAATTTGTTTGTTGAATTTGTTCCGTTTTCCGCTTAAAGTAACGATCCTCTGTCGATGTCTTCTTGATTATCTTCTTGTTTTTGATTAAAATTGGTCACACAATGTCAATCGGAAGTTTATCCTATCACGTTGGGGACTCCCTTGTAAGACTCAAAAGTGTCTGTGAAACCCTTTTGCTGAATGGAGAAGGGGATGATGGAGTTGCAAGCTCTGCCCTTCTATGCTATCAGAACAAAAAGACCACCAAGCTTAGCTTGGCAGTTATATTTATCGTGATAGAGGATAGTTCAAGATGAAGCTTCCGAGTGATGTTTATAAGGGTCTGAAGTTGTTTAATGAGTGATGATGCTGTTGTTCAAGCTTTAAAACCAAGGCACGGAGCTCTGGGAGCGCTATGCTTCAACCAGTAATGGTATGTGAGGCAGGTTATGGCACTTGACACTTGTTATGATGATCAAAGTGTTATCTTGGTATTTCAATATAATGTATTCTTATGGCTGTCACTTGTATATAATCTGTAAGGGTGGTTGAAATGATCTGGTCCTCTGGTGGGATGATGGAGGGAACAACTGGCAGGCAGAGGCCTCCTTATATAGACAAATGTGAGGGATTTTAGCCCCAGGGTACAGGCTTTTGAGGCATTTTAGCTGGCCTGAAGATCCAATGAGGGGTTTTAGCTAGTCTAGTACATGCAGGTGAGGGAATTTGGCTGGTGAGAGCACTGCCTTGAGGGAATTTAGCTAGCCTACAAGGTCCTACTACAAAGGAATGCATGTGCACTTACAAAGGAATTCAATATGCACTATGTGCCAATAAAGGAATTCAATACAACACAAAGGAATTCAATATTCAATATGCATGCAGGATTCAAAACAAGCCACACTGAGAGTAAAGAATCCAAAAGATCTCCTGTGACAGGTTGAAATCTGTGTAACTTCTAAACTATGAGAGATATGGGGTCAGTTGTAGTGGGTGACTAGGGTTAATTTTACCTGAGAAATCCAATTCTGATGTTATTTTTACCATATCTATAATATATAAAGAGATAATAATAAATTTTTATATTTTTCTGCGTAAAAACACAGTATTATTTTCCACAGCGGTACCCAACAGCTATAGCAGGTACCCGCCCATGGGTGCCGGGTACCGCCAGACGAGTACCCATTGGCCATCATTAGGCTGCACGTCTTTTCTGAATGCCCTGGGTGTTCCCATGGCCCAAATATGCTTTATCGGCAGATGGAGCTTGTCCTGCTACAAATTGTATTTGCGGACATACTCGTATGAGGAGCTAGATAGCTCCCTACAGCTCTTAAGCAAGCTAGACCTGCAATGGAGCTTAATGCATGTTTAATTGATCATTAATGGTGTAATAAAAATAATGCGCCTGTTATTTAATTTTGTTGAGGGGTTGACAGACAGAACACAGTGCAAAAGTTGGTGGGTTTGCACAAGGCTCAGGCTTTCACCCTGAGTTCAAGGGTTCAGCGCGATCCCCCTCTCTTTTCCTCTCTGTTTCAGAAGGGAGCTTCCTTCTACCGCAAAGCCGGCCGAGGGCCCTTTGCTGGCAGGCTAAAAGAAGCCCAGGAAGAAGCTCTCTCCCAAGACCCTCACGCGCCCCTCTTGAAAACCCTTGGGAACAAGGGGACTAAGGAGGGCTACAGGTGTCAAGCTGGGAACCCCCACTGACACCTGGAAATTGTGCAGAGATGAAAGAAGAGTAGATGGATTGGATTGGTGGCGTCAGCAGTGCACTAGCGGATGTTACCAAAGTCCAAGAACACAAGCGCTTGGGACTCCTAGCCAAGCTGAGTGGTTGGGCCTGGAAACTGTCCTGCTCCCCTCTAGAGCACAAACCTAAGAGCTGCTCAGGAGAGTCAGTATATAGTGACTACCTTTGTGCCCCACTCAGCGCTTGTCTGACCATCTACCTCAGGCTTTCTCCTTTCTCTGGACGCACCAGAACCGGTTGCTGCAAAACCCCACTGACACCTGGAAATTGTGCAGAGATGAAAGAAGAGTAGATGGATTGGATATGTATCAATTGATCTAGGTCTGATAGAGACTACTAAATGTGTAGTACAATAGAGGGGCAGGTCTTTCAAACCACCCGTAACAATATAAATCAAACAAGCGCAATATCATATTTTTTATTTCCCCCTCACAGGACTGCCACCATTCCCAAAGGAGTTCTCACAACGTCAACCCCTGGACCCTAGTCAGCTGAATTCCAATCTTCAACCCTAAAAACTCAAAAGAAAATGATCCACTTTTAGCTGACAAGGGGTTTGATATGATTGGAGGTCAGTTTACTTTTCATTATTTTCATGTCTATATTGACTTGAATTAGGTTGTGGGGGTAACCATGTGTGTATTCAGATCCCAGGAAGAATTGCATCAGTTCTTGGATGGTGCTTCACCATGGTCCATCTGATAAGTACACAAGAATTGGTTTCTCTTTCCAGATGTCTCAAAAAATGTCTAAAGCTGTTGTTGAATACATTGACTCTAATACTACCATAGCTGGCCAGAGGACACAAATAGCAGATGCTGAAAAATGTATGGAAAAAGAGAATAAAAAAATAAATGAATGGTGTACCGTGTACCCTTTTTCTTCTTCTCATTTGAGTTTGTAATCTGCATGCAATGTTTTCCCCCTCTCTTTCTGTTGAGACTTTTTTCATCTGTTCCTATTGTTTATTTTTATCTTCTTCAATTTCTCAGTGATCAGTCTCAAGTTGTCAATTCATATACATATAAATTCAACAATCAGGCAAAACTTCAAACTCATCTACATGTTACATATTGGACAATGTGCCCTTCACTCTGTCTCAGCTGTCAGTTCACTGCACATGGTATTAAATCTATCCTCAGTAAAAAAAACATGTCTTGATTGCAGTGATACCATCAATAAAATTACTCCCAGGCTTTATGATACTGGTGATTGTACTTCTAAATCTGCCAAAATCAAAGTTCAAATTTCACCAGTTCTTCTGGTAAACCCTGGTTAGCAGTAGGTATTTTGTCCTCACAGAGAGATATAAACACTGATGGCTGCAATGTGAATCTCAATTAGTGCATACCAAATTTACTTTATCCTTACACACATCTTGACAAAATACAGCGTAATTCCGGAGGAAATGTCCTAGAAACAAGAGTCTTTCAATTACCTCAAACGGTGAGCTTTGGATTCCATTTCTCTTCTTCAAAGGAAGATCATCTTTGTTACTCATGATCAGTTGAATTTCTGCAAAGTTTCACCATTGTATGTAAGCACATTGAAGAAACCCAAGAAAGCTAAATTAGAAGATTCAGTGTTGATGCATCTGTGTATAGGAAATAAATTGAGCATTTTGATATGTTTGGTGGAAAGAATTGCTGTTATAATTGATGTTACTGATGGACAGACCAATTTTATCATTTAACAAGTCTGTTCATTCATTCAAGTGTACAAATCCCTCACCTAATGCACACAAGAATTTAGCAAGTTAAATACTTGATGAACTGCCTGGAATGTTGGAAAGAACTCCAAAAGTGTATTATCATTTGACCAGGGAGCTCTGTCTTGAATCATATGTTCTAAGATGCAGTTATAGAAATTTACTGATGTTCCAACTGACAAAACTGATACAAGAAGCCTTACAAATTAAGAATATAAATGATGCCCTTGTTTCTTTGTGATCTGTTTTTTTTACTGTGACACATTCAGACACATCCTGACCAGTATGGAAAATTTAATGACCACATGGTGATTTAACCACACCTATTGCCATTGAAAGAGCTTCCCTTTTGGGGAAACTGGCATGATGCCTGGCAATGCAGTTATAGTTCCACAGGAGTTCTACTCATATATGTAGCCAAGTTGCACCTGGTTTCAAGTTACCTCTAACTTACTTTCATCAGGAATTCAGCTCACTTGAGCATGCATTGAACTTACTTTCCTCATAACTTCCGCACCAACAGGGGGTAAGGTTCTAGGAGACATATCAGAGGGTTCCAGCAACACATCAAAGGAGGGCACTTGCGTGGCAAACTCCCCTGGTGGTATAGTCACAAGGTTGTCATCAAAGTTTGGCTGCTAGTCTAAATTCTGATCTTCTAAAGTTTCTGAATATTGGTTTTGTTATGAAGATTTAGGATATACAATGAACATGAATTCACTGTTTAAAATTCATTTCAAAATCAACATGAGTCCTTGCCTGAAGGAATCCCTCACAAATCTGCATCCCTTACAGATGTTAACTTAAAAGCAGAATTTTTCTGAATATTCCCAGATGGATCTGTCTAAGGAAGCTCTAATTATGTAGGTGCTTTGGATTAGAAAGAAGGTCCTCCACTCCAATGTACTGTTGAAATCCTTGTGATACATCTGTAAAATCTCACCTCCTCTAGAACTCCACAGCATAACTCAAATCATCATCTCCTCAAACCTAACTCAATCTCATCTCAAAAACCTAACTCAAGATGCCATCACTCCATTCACCCTCCATTCTTCATCTCCATTCTCAATTCACTCACTCTCTCTCCGTCCGTTCTCCATTTGTCACTCCTCAAATCCTTTCCTTCTTCAACCAACTCATACCCTGTCTACATATCCTCTTCCTGTCTTGCTGCCCTTGACTCAAATCTCTTTGACTTTGTTGACTTCCCTCTCTGAACTCTACATCATCCTCTTTGTCGATCTTCAACTCATTACTCCCCATCTCTGTCACATCCTTTGTCATCTATTGGATCACTTTAGTATCCACTTTGGTGAGAAAATAGCATCAACAACTTACCTTGACCGTCGTCCTCAACTAACATCTTTTCTTCTTCGTCTTGTGTCTTGTCATCTCCTCTGTCTCGTCTTCCTCTCTTCAGTTGTTTCTCTTAGATCTTTCTTCTGTTGTAGTAAATTATTTCTCTATTCTCATTCTCTTCTTTTTCCTCTCTTGATTTTGTTTCTAACTATTTCTTGTTCTTCAGTCTGGTTTGGTTTTTAGTAATAAAACTCTCAAGTTTTCACATGTACACAGCTAAATCTGGACTTTTCCTTTACAAAATCTGCTCATGCAGTTAACCTTTTGTGAAATCAAACCATGTTTTATTTCACCAGCAAGATAGTTGGAAATCTTGGTGAAATGCATGTGTCAATATTGTAGAAATGCAGAATAATTTCAGAATTATTCATTGTGACATTAATAATAAATACAGGATCCACCTTGGTGTATTTGTAGTTAATTTTTCATCATAACCTTTTTGGTGAATATTACAATTAGTTGCCAGACAGTCAAAGTGACTCAGTTGTGACCTGCAGTCACTGGCTGACCAGTGTCCTGGAATTTCCCCTGGTGATATTGACTGTATGACCTAACCCATCACTTTTTCCGGGTTGGGCTTGGGCACTGTTTTTTGCCTCAAACCTGACCCAGTTTCATTCAGGCAATGGGTGTCAGACCAGGGCTCCCATGAAAGAGTGTAGTAGCTCTCAGCACTATGGCTTCACCATTGTGACTCAACAATGGCATGCAGGGAAGCAGCCAAGCAGGTTTTCAAAACAGTTTCATCATGTGTCTTTTTCATATTTTTGGAGTTTTTGGGCTTTGTAGCACAAGTAGATGAAATGGAAGATATAGTGAGGAGGTGAGATGTATAGAGAAAGTTAACTTGAAATATTAAGATATCGATAATTAATTTGCTAAGGAGAGCGTTAACAAAATGTTTTATTGTTCAGGAAGAGAAATGCTTTCAGTATGAATGTGATCTTGGACTGCTTGATGGGGTAATCTTCAGCAGTATCATCACAACTGGTTGATTGGCTGAAGCCATCTCTTTTTTCACTCGGAGACTATACAACCAAGGATCCATACATCTCATGCTTTCTGCGATCGACACAACTGACAATCAATTATCGTTGTCAGAAGAGTTGATATCTTCTGATTACTCACATGTCAAACCGACGAGCTCATTGTTGCTTGCATTCCTGAAGGTGGATAACATTCGTTAGTGACAGAACGTCTCAAGGCGTGCGAGATGAGTTACAAACCTGTGGGTCTTGGTGACTCGCAGGAGTGGCTCCAGTGGGGGGTACTGGAGCTTTCTTGGTTTTCTTTGCTCCAGGAACCACAAGGCGACCGTCCTCATCGTCGTCATCATCCTACACGCAAGTCGCAAGTGACCAGCACCCATGTTGGACTTCACACTTTAAAAAGAATGAGAAGAAGAAAAGATAGATGACCAGTTGCACTTACACCATCCTCATCATCGTCGTCATCGTCCTCATCGTAGTCATCTGAGAAATCTTCGCCAACGCCATCTTCATAGCGGAGAGCTTTGCCGGTGAAGAAGTCAATGGCACGGGGGATGATCTAAGAAAAACGGCGATGAGTATATCAGTGATTGTTAGCGGGAAAGGCGCTGGTAAGCAGAAGTTGATGGCTGTCCCCTTACGCGATCTTTCAAATCTTCACCGATCTGATAGTCCAGCTCCAAACGTTGTTCGATTTCCTCTTGTTCTTCCTCCGGGAGATCATCGTCCTCTGAAGGCGGGTTGGGTGGGCTGAAGAATGTGAAAAAGGAATCGGTGGGTACGACTTTTTTAACGACACGGGTCTGGTTGGTATCTGCAGAGGATATGGTTAGAAAGCCTGCGGTAATCGCAAAGCAGAAGAGGAGTGAGGCTTGGCAGGTAACTCACTTTTGTTTCGTTGTTTTTTTGTTTCGACTTTAACAGTCAAGTCTTTACCTTCCTTCCATTCGATCTTGGTGCCTTCGGCCCTGTCGTAAACAAAGTCACCCGTGTAACCCACTTCATCCTGGTAGTAGTACGTTTTTTCGAGTAGGCTGTTCTCAAAAAACTCCTTGGCCCCTTGACCGAAGTAGAATAAGAGCTTGAAGCCCGGTTTGCCATCGAGGTATGAGACTCGGATATCTTCCAAATGTTTCAGGGCAGCCTGATCTCTCTCGGTGACCAATTCGGACAAACCGGGATGATTGCCGAGAACAGTGACCCAAAATTCAGGGATCCCCTTGGGAGCTTGAGCGAGCTCTTCGGCAGTTGGAGGAACGCGAGGCGGACGTGGTTCACCGTCTTCATCTGACTCATCCGAGTCATCCTCGTCTTCTTCGGCAGCTTTGATACCAGCTGCGATCTCCGATTCGGAGGGCTCGATTTTCCCGGTGACGATCTGGAGCCGTCTTTCGTATAACGGTTGATACTTGTGAGCAAACTTTTTCTCTAGTTCGAGGACCTCCTTCTGGAATTCAGCCTCGATTTTAGAATGCTCGACCTGGATACCATTTAGGCCATCGATGCGCTGTCTGATCGTGGGGGGGAGGGATGCGATGTATCCCGATGAGCGGCCGACCAAACCATGGAGTCGAGACTGGACCAATGAAGCAAGAAGCTAAATGTAGGATTTGTGTTACAGGTTAGTTCTGAGGTGTTGACGGTTTTGTTAGAGGGGGAAAGCCAAACAAACAGGATGGTTGGCTAGTTGCGCGTTGGGTCCGCCGGTAGCTGCGTCTGAGCCAATAGTGGGGATTTCCTCTTCATCTTCCCCGATGGTGTCAGGAACTTGTGGTCTCCTGGATTCAGCACACGCAAGAGGAGAAATGAGATGTATAAACAACAGCGCAACTATAAAGAACTGGTGGGTAGAGCAAGAGCAGGGGGATACAACAGAAAGAGTGATGGGATTATTCAAGGGGATGCGACTCTTCCTCACTTGAGAAGGAAATGGCGTCCCATGGATCATGATAAAAAAAGAGCCACGGAGAGAAGGTTGATACAGACAGCTGAAATGAAGAAATTAGCTTACGAGAGTTGGGAGATGGTGGAATGCGGAGCGGGTGTATTCTAGAGAGGGAATTAGGGAGGCACAAAAAAGAAGCATCAACGAAGAGTTCAAAGACGGGAGGAGATATCGGAGAGAGACAGAAGAATGAAAGAGGAGGTTGAGATGGATAACGAAACCTGTGGTGTCGGGGCAGTCAAGTCACCCTCAGCTTGCGGAATCTGACGAGCTTCCATAATGAAATAGGTTGATGATGATGAGTAGGATGAGAATCGTTGGGAAGACTAAGTATCTTGAGGGCTGAATAATCTTTCGAGTAGGTTGAGGTTGTGGCTGGTTGGATTCTCAAGGAGAACACAAAAACTGGGATAGTCAGCTGATTGAAGGTATTCTGTGAAAATTTTGGCAGGGAGAAGTCCGAGTGGATGGGGGGAGGCCGAGAGGGGGGTGGAGGTGAAGTGGGCGGAGGGCGTCGACTTCGGGTGTGAGACGGCTGCTGGACCGGATCGAAAAATATTTTATTTCAAACAAAAAGTGGTTGGCAAACGAAAAAAAAAAACCATCACATGCTTGCCGTGTATGTACATATTCAAATTACATCCACATCCGAACTTAACACAAGGTCCCTCCGAGGAGGTCGCGTAGCGACCTCCGAAGGAGGGACTTGCATCGAAAGTGGCAAGTCTCACCCTACAGAGTCCAGCCAATTGGCTGTGAGTAGCTCCCCCTCCCCGATAGCACCCACTAGCACTCATTTACCCATCCCGCCTCTGGTACCATTGAAATCGCAAGGCTTACAGGATAATTATTGTATCCTCCAAATCTTCAATATCTGTTCCTGTTCCTGAGAATTGTCCTGTAAAGTTGGGGCTGTGGAAACTATCTGTAAACAATCCGGCTTTTTCAAAGCCGGATTTTCCACCAAAAGATCCGGTCATGAATGTGTAATTCGGTGAAGCATAGTATGTGAGATAATGTCACATGAGTTTTTTTCATTACACATCATCTAAAAATACTCTTATACTTAAGCGATGGTGAGGCATTTGAACGCTGAGAGATCTAATGCCTGCCAATACAAACACTCACTATTGAAAACCGGATACTATGCAATTGCGCAGAATCCGACAGGAACCCGTGAGAGGGTCCACGATCTGATGAAGTCGGATCCGAATTGGATCTTGGCAAAATTCAGATCATCACCAGCTAAAAACATCGGAGGGACAATGGTTTTAAGGCAAAAAATTACAAAAAGGATCGGTCTGAGAGCTGAGACGATAAAGTACAATTCTGCCTACTCAGAATTACGAAAAGTTGAAAAGTACATTTTTAAATAATTTTCGAAGGCAAAATAAGCGTTTTTTTCGCAGAAATCTCATTTACCTTGAGTCATCGGAGGGGCTTTGGAGGTAAGCCTCTCCTTTGGAGAGCGTCCCTTCGGACGCGGGGTCCCTTCGGGACCCTCTGATCGCGAGGCTTATGTTAAGCTCGATCCACATCCATCAAGGAAATGCAGCTGCATCCACCAACAATACCACCTGCTTGACAACTGACCATTTGGCTTCTGATCCCCCTTCCAAGAAAAAGTATCAAAAATGCATTCTCAATTCAATGCAGGCCTGCACACTTTCTGGTCAGCAAATTGAGCCTAACTTTTGGTTCAGAATCTTCAGAAAAAAAAAATTCACAACAGATTCATTTAGAGTGGTGATTAACACCTTTAAATGGTAACAGTAGGACCTCCACTGATAAAGATATGGATAGTGCTGCAGTTTTAACTTAACAGTCTAATTATTATGTATGTAATAGGGGAAATTTCGAGGGGGCATTGGACTAAGGAGCAGTAAGAAAAAGTGACATGGCTGAAAATGACTCAAACCTGATTCCTATAATTGTTCATAAGAAAAAATCAGATTAGTAGACTACTAAATAACAATTTTAAATGACAGACAATGTAGGACTTGAGCATATGCTGATGTAAAGCTAACATAGGGATGAGACATTTCAAATCAAACAAAAATCAAATATGA